TGATTGATTAAATGTCCTTAATATGCCGAAATGTCGAACTGACAGTAGCGTTTTGATTCTAAGCTATATCGTGTTATCTCCAACATAGGGCGGTGGAAGCTAATTAGCTAGGGACCATCTTACAGGTTTCTAGAATAACCTCTGTTTTCATAAAGTTAAAAAAAATCGGCCGCAAAAAGTGTGATTTATAACTTTAGTAACACGTTCGCTGCCTACTCAGACTGGATTAACTGTTCCCAATAGCCAAATACTTTTTTTCACCAATCAGACTTATTGGTATATGTTATCATTTTTAGTTATTTATATTGATATCGAATTTAAAAAAGGTGTATATTGGTAGAGAAAAAAAGTGCCCCCGATCGGAGCCGGCGGCATTGAATCCAGGATTATTCGTATCACTGCCGATGACTCCGATCGGAGCCGTCGGCACATGGCGAAGATCAGCGATTGGCTTCGATCGGAGTCATCGGCAGCGAAAGTGTTAATGCATTAGTTATTCATAAAACCTCTAAGTTATCCCCTAGCTGATTAGCTTTTAAGACCCCTTTAGTTCAGTACCAGATGAGAATCATCAATTCAAATAGGAATTACCTAACCTCAATAAATACATGCGAACTCCGTCTTAAATGCTTAAAACGGGTTTAGTCTAAGCTCCATAACGTTTATCTAACCGAATAAACCTATTTGTCAAATTCCACATGTAATTTAATTACAGGTCAAATTTTTTGGGATAATTTTGGCCAACATTTTCACAAAAAAATACCTTTTGAAAATGGTAAGGTGTACTATTTATTGCCGGGATGCATTACCACGTAGACGTCTTGATTTTCAACAGCCGCCAAAAAAAGCAAAATCGTTTCTAACGCAAACAGTGGTAAGTGAAATTGTAAATCAACCCTCTGCTATTGGGCTGAGTGTTGCATCCAAAACTAAACGACAAGTTACAAAACGTTTCACGTTTGGGTCTGAACCCACTGATTGTCATGAAAATGTACCAGCCCAACTTACATAATTTTCAATAGAACATCAGAAATTGCATAAAAGTGTCAAAAGGCACTTGCGGAGGGGTATCAATTAACACCCCATCTCGCATTCCCCGTGACCGTCCAATTGCAAAATGTACCTACAGCCTAGAAGCGCTATATATACTTAGTAGTAAGATCGTTTTTCATTAGGAACAGTATAGAGCATTACCAAGAAACAGTGTAGCCAATCCTTTCGAAAACAGTGAGTAATCGGACATTTCTTCGAAGTGCGAGTAATAAATTCTAATATTGCTCACCAGTCTACATTGGTGACATTTTGTCGTCTATTTAACTGAGTTATCTGTTTAAAAATATACATGAACAACTTCCATGAATAGATACATGTTACTGTCAAAATATATTTCGAAATATTTCACGACAAGATGTTATGCGTTTCATCTGCACGAACACTTTTGACTCTATCCAGAGGCGGCGGTCTTTCCAAGGAACTATGCAATCGTGAATAGTGGACTGCTGTTAGGTTTAAACCTTGGAACTCGGGCCTACTGTATGGATTTATGAGATTCTTAGTGCAATGCTGTATATTAAAAAAATACCTGTTAACTTTGTGCGCTTTGATTTTCAAAGGCCTTTTTTTACCCTGGAGCAGGCTCGCAGGCAGAAGCCTAAATGCCAGGGCACCGCGGCTGCTATGAGGCGCTTGAAGAAACATTGTCATTCCGATATTTGAACTGCCCAAGATTAGTAGAACTGGGAAAAGCCTCCTTATGTAGATTATTCCACAATCTTGATACCCCAGGGACAAAGGAGCGGTCGTGTCGGCCAGTTCTGAATGTACGACGTTCGGCCCTTCTACGATGGGAGGATGAAGTCTAATCGTTTTGAAAATCCTTTTATTTATATATGCGGTTTATTAGGCTAATATACCAGCGGACAGATCTCATTAAACCGATCAAAAAAGTTCATGTTAGGTTCTGTGTCTTACGGCTTCCTTCCTGAGATACAGGGCGTTCAAGTAAATTTATACTAACAGTGATGTTTTCAATTTCCCTTGAGTGATCTAGATGAAACTTTGAAATTTTACGGTAGGCACTAAGAAACTTGTTCGTCCTTGGTATAATAGCAACGTTGTGTGGAAATTTCACCTACATCCGAGCAGTACTTTCCAATTTATAGGCAGTTATAATTAGCGGACAGTCCGACAGACAGACCGACGGAAATGAATGACATGGTTTTGAGTGATGGCCAACTAAGAATGCGAGGTACTGTATCAGGGAACCTATCCATCGTAGAGGCTTGCGGCAAAAAAGTTCTTACTAAAACGGCCAAGAAAAAACCTGGAAAATACAATAAAGTTTCTGAAATGGCGGCTAGGGGGCGTAACTGCAATCTTGACTCTATTAACCTAACAAAAAAATTCCTGATCTTTAAAGTCGAGGATAATGTGAATTTTGTCGTGTATGAAAAAACGATTGAGGTACGGATGATTACGAAATTCGTAAATTTTTATTTTTTTATAGTTATTTTCATGTTTTGATGAAAGCATTCAGGTTTTTGAGTTACCTAGTAGGCATAATTTTAAACGTAAAATGTAAAATAGACACACTAATGGCCTTATGTGGTGAATACAAATTTTTACAATGAAATAAATTTATATTATTGATGTATATCTTACCGCCAATCTGTATAATCCGGTATTCTATACAATACCTAGGTAATGTATAGAATACCTAAGCCGAATAGGTAATATTTGAAATATTATTTGTTTTATATACTAAGTGACATATAAATCCGAACACCCAGTTTAAATGGTTTTATTTTAATAAAATTTTGTATAAGTATGTACTTAATGAACCATAATAAGTAAATGATAAAAATTTCAAAATGATTGCACTGCTTTAAAGCCCTTTGACCTTTAATAATGTGTGGATGCACCCTGATGTGCTACGCATTCTCCAACGCGCCTAGGCATGCTTCTGATCAGGTGGTCAATGTCCTCCTGTGGTATCTCATTCCAGGCAACCACCAACTCCTCTCGAAGTGCTTCTAGAGTCTGAGGAGGACGTTGCAAATTGAGCAATCTCCTACCCATCATATCCCACACGTGCTCAATTGGGGATAAGTCCGGAGATCTTGGTGGCCATGGTAACAATGTGACATCATTATGTTGGAAGAAGTCTATTGTGACTCTTGCAACATGTGGTCGGGCATTATCTTGTTGGAAAGTTGGATCTACCAGGGTGTCAAGATAGGGTAAAAGATGGGGTTCTAGAACTTCGTGGATATAACGCTGCGCGTTCATGTTACCTCTGATGAAGATTAAAGGTGACCTGGAACCATAAGCTATAGCACCCCAAACCATAACTCCAACAGCGTGATGAACATGTCTTTCAACAAAAAACTGTGGATTCCTCCTTTCACCACGTCGCCTTCTAACCCTGGCACGACCATCGTGCATGCCTAAACAAAATCGAGACTCGTCACTAAAGACAATACTGTTCCATTCCTGATCCCAGAGTGACCGTTGTCTGCACCACTCAAGGCGATTACGTCGGTGTTCTCGAGTTAAAGGGAGGACCCAGTGTGGCCGGTATGAAAACAATCCAAAACTTCTCATTCGTCGGTAAACACTTCGCATGCCAATAGGTCTTCCGTGTTCTGTAAACCATTCATTTGCAATCGACCTGGTAGTGGAGAAACGGTCCCTTAAGGCCAATAATCTTAGGCGGCGATCTTCACGGTCTGTTGTTCCACGGCGGCGTCCAGTGCCCCTTGCTCTTTGCGTACGGCATTCTCGAAGCCATGCCCGACAACACCTAACCACAGTGTCTACACTTCTTTGCACTCTAACTGCAATTGCCCGAAAAGAAAGTCCAGCTTCCCGAAGTCCCACTATACGGCCCCTATCAAACTCACTAAGTTGACGAAATCGTACAGGTCTCCGTACTCTAGGCATCGTAACCGATCGTAAAGGATGTCAAGAACCAAAATCCGCCAACGTTGATTCTTTACTGCGGCTGAAATATTCATTTTTAGAGCGTTAGTGAATTAAAAAAAAGCAGTATAAAAACCGGAATGTCCAACTGATAAGGTTGAAAATTTTTTCACTTGTTATTTACAGTAAGATAAATACATTCACCAACTTTTATTAAAATAAAACCATTTAAACTGGGTGTTCGGATTTATATGTCACTTAGTATATTTTCCTACATACATACATACTTTACCTTGGTATTCTATACAATACCAAATGCGCAGCCGGTAATGTATGTAAAAGACGAGAGCAAGGAACGGGTTGTACGTACCGGCAGGCAGGCAATAAACGACATGCGTCCTTGTAAGTAAAGAAAATTACATTGTTACTTAAAACCAGAATAATTTTTAGTTTCACATCAATTTTACTGTAGTAACAGAGAGGTGCTTTTCTTGTACTCTTTTCATAAAACTTATTTTTAAAAAGCACTCTAGTTGTTAATTTTAAGAAAGATGATTTTAAATTATATAACTTGTTTCATTTGCCCGTCATTTAATAGGTATGCCTGTTTACATTGATAAATTTAGAGCAAGATCTATTTATTTTACACATTGCCGGTGGAACAGCAGGTACTCTATACATTACCTAGGTAAAGTATGTAATGGATAATAATATTCATAATATTTCATACATTGCCTGGGCAACCCAGGTATTCTATATATTGTCTAGGTTTTGTATAATACCTGAATTGTACAGATTACCGGTAACATATATAATAAAAATCAGTTGAAACAATATCATTACTAAAGTCAAAGAAATTAGAAAATTGCAAATTTCGAGATAATCCGTACGTTAATCGCTTCTTAAGGTCCCACAAAGAATGTTTCAACAGTTTTTTTTAATTTTCCTCCTAGTAATAAAAAATCGATAAAACCCGACTCGAACCCCCTATATTGCGATACATCATGAAACCCCCAATCGCTTCACTGACCCATTGTGTTTTGTTACATTTGCTGCCTGGGCTATGAAATAATACTCACCTCAACCCGCCAGATTTCGACTCCGGCGGTTTTGCCGGCGTTATCGAACGCTGCTTCGACCATTGTCCTTCTTCCCGTGAAATTCTCACTTCCGGTTCTTTGCCTCTTGGCCTGCGGTTGCGCTGAAGATGGTGACGCTGATCTTCCAAACCACGATGTTCGACTGATATCGCACAAGCCGGTTTCAACGTAAAATACAGCTAGAACTAGCAGTAGGTATCTGGCGAATGGTGCTCTGGGTCGCAGAATACGCTGCTTACCTGATGACGAAGGCGCGCCCATCGTGATAGTCGCTCATGCGTTGCCGTTACGTCTCACGTCGCTGCCGCTGAAAATTAGATGAAATTGGAGTGTACGGCATAGTAATAGTAGGGTCACTCAGCGCTCAAACCAGTTCTTGCAAAAAAGAAGAGCCACTCAATCGAAAAAACAGATTCTTCCGCGGTTGGCTGAAATCATCTGAAATGCTATCTGCCATTTGGATGCAATCACCCATTCATTACCTGCGGTAATAGTCCAGTCACATCTGCTCGCAAAAATATTCTGATGTTTTTTGCACAACCATAAAAAAAGAAAAACATTTTTTTGCAATTTTAGGTCTGACAACATGCAACAGCTTTTTGAATGCGATTATGCGAAAAGACAATCAAAATATTTTTCTAAACAGATGCGAAGATACTTCCTGTACTATAACTACCCAGGTAGTCGATGGCCGGCATCCCATCCCATCAAAAGTGGGTCGCGTGGATGTGTACAGCGCGATTCACTATGACAAATAGGTGCTGCGTGCCTAGATGCAAAATGAAGGAGGGAAATGGTGTTTCGATGCCTTGCTAATGATTTTAGGCAACTATTGTTATTCCAGCATATTTGGAATCCGTTTTTTCATTTCCTGGTGTAATTGACGAAGGAGATATCACAAAAATTTGATGTGTAGTTTTACTTCTAATTTCCAAAATTAGCCATAATAAATTTGGACGGTTTATAGTGTCTTTTCGTTGAATATGTTTCGGGCTTGGAGGAAATATTTACAAAGAACTTGGTTGAGCTGGTTTGTGTAGAAAACATAGGAAAATGACTGAAAACTGAAGTATTGGGCATCAGTTTCACTCACCCTTGTGAACTGTTTCCTGCTAATCATTTTCTGTATACACAAGTGCGCATTTATTTTCAATTCAAGTATGTCAACCCGGGATATAGTCACTACTAGGGAAGGTAAGCTAATCCTATTGAAAAAATTAACTCATCTATAGATTTATCGCAATAAGACAGAACAAAGTGTCAGAATAGACCACTGCGAAACTGAAAACAATTTGCAGTGGTCGATTTTGGTAGCAGATGGCACTTGGAGCTGTACTATTTCGATGGACCTTATGCTTTGGATAGATGACAATTGCTCAGGTTTCCTTCATAGTCATACCTGAGACCAAGCCTACAGCTGAGGAGTTGCCAAATAGCACGAAAGCTGTCAATATTGCCCGTCGGACGGATGAAAGCTATATTACTAGTTTGATCTATAGATTTGTTTAGGAATGTTACTAATGGTACACCTCCTGCAGTGGCATTCATTCCATATCGTTTGTAGTTTATACAAGTTTCATTTAATTTTTTTCACGTTATTTTCTATTCTTTATCTCAGTTTTCCACCTAACTATAGAACCGATAAGAAAATTAAAAACATTTGTTTTTTACTTAACATGGCGCCCTTACATCCATTTTCAAACTTGTCGGTACTGTGGTTATTGGGGCTACGTAACGACAACAAAATCAGTACGTCAGATGAATCATCACCAGCGACGAAATCTAAAAACTATTTTTCGACTCGCAGTTTTCTTAAGCAAAGGATATTTGTCCTCCATTAGCCAGGCCATAAACACAATAATGACATGAATCACCCTATATAAATACAATTACTCGATGCCATTGCAAACAATCTTTTGACAACCTGTTGACTACACGACCCTGTATAAAGTAATGAAAAGTGCGGAACCTCTGCATTTAAAGCATCTAAAAAAGGGATCCGAGTTCTTAGAAAAATGTCGGCATCTTTAGAAGTCAGAAGATCAAAATCTTTTTCGCGAGTGCCCCTTCTACTGGTACTGTATTTTTTCCACTGCAAAAAAAAATCGGGAAATCGGGTGTTTGCTGCATCACGTCTGAGTACTCGTAATATTATGATGCATACTGGGAAAACCCCATTATATAAAAATGTATTTCAAAGAACCAGTTGAATTTGAACATCCGTATATATTATACTCAGTGACATTAGAAGTGTTACACCCAGCAAAAATAATTTCTCCAGCTTGATTTTTTAGCAATGAGGTAGTCTTACATCAAGAATGAAACGATAACATGGTCAGGAAATTGTATTGACAAGTAATAAGAAAAAAATTAATAATGTGTTGGGCGACTCCGCTGCTGAATACACTTCCGTATACGTCTAGGCATCGACAAAATGAATTGACAGATGTCTAGTTGTGGCACCTCATTCCAAGAATCTTGAACTTCGTGGATTAGCTGTGGCAGAGTCTGTGGCGGATAGTGCAAAGTGGATAGTCTCCTCCCCATCATATCCCACACATGCTCGGTGGGATTTAAATCCGGTGAACGGGCTGGCCACGGCAAAACATTAACGCCTGCTTGTTGAAGAAAGCCGTATGACGAGCATAATCGACGTGCGTTGTCTTGTTGAAAAAGGACGTGTGGACGGCCATCTAGGTACGGCAGTAAAGTGTCTTGTAGAACATCATCAACATAACGCGCATCACTCATATTGCCTTGAACAAAGAGAAGGGATGAACGGCTACCATAAGCAATCGCCCCCCAAAACTATTACTTCAACAGTCCTGTGTACATGCCTCTCAACAGCAAAGATCCAATATCACGTCGTTCTCCACGGCGGCGTCTTACCCTTCTACGACTATCGTGCGTACCTAGACAGAATGGCGGTTCGTCGCTGAAGGTGACATTATGCCATTCTGTCTCCCAATGTTGCCTTTATCTGCTCCAGTTCAAACGTTGACGACAGTGGTCTGCAGTCAGAGGAAGCACTAACCGTTGACTGTATGAAAAAAGTCCAAAGGCTGGAATGCGGCGATATAGTGTACGCATAGCAACAGATCTACCTTCTTCTCCAAAACATTGGGTCAGCGATCTGACGCGTATTAGCAAAATGGTCTCGTGGGGCTAGCTGTCTGAAGCGCCTATCTTGAAGCTCTGTGGTACGCCTCGGTGGACCAGTTGTCTTTCTTCGTGTTCCTCTACCTTCTTCTAACCACACACGACACACACGCATTACCGTCATTGCAGTTCAATTGACACGGCGGCCAATTTCGGGATAGGACAAACCAACACCTCGATAGGCAATAATAATTCTACCCCTGTCAAAGTCGCTAACATGGTGATAATTTGGACGCCTTCGAACTCGAGACATTTTGTAAGGCGGCTCCGACGCAGTGACTTTCTATCAATTTACAAGGGTTCAGCTGCTTCGAAACTAACACACTATTTTTCAATATTTTTGAATGAAATTCATACAGCATGTTCAGAAGACAATTGTCCATGGTGCTATCGAAGCACTTTATGACATTTTGTCAGTTTCGAAGCGCGCAAACCTCTACAAATCGGATTTTCTACGAATAATTTTGTCTATTGTTTCGTGCTGCCAGCCCAAGCTACGCAGTGGTGTGTACCGACTAAGAAAGGACGTATTCAGATATTTTGGTATAATATCGTGTATATAAGTAATTCTGTAAATAGGTGTTCATAATCACGATCGCCGAGGTGAAGTAAATGTAACTAGTACTGTAAATGTAACTTCTGAACTTATGCCCCAGTTGGCCCTCTGATCTATCTATGTTACACTGGCCAATAAATGAAACCTAAGATGGTGAATATACTGATTTCCTCACGTTTAGGTTGCTTTGGCAAATTAGAAAATTCTTACTCCTCCATTTTCAAGCCGTTTTACTCCGCACGCCAGTGGCGCGAAAAATTTCATAAATGAGATTTTATGTTTTTTTAGGTCATATATGACCAAGGGCGGATCCAGGATTTGTGCCTGGGGGGGTCACACTGGTCAACCCTACCCTTGTAGCCTTAGGGTACAGCCTAAAAGTGAAAATATTAAATATAATTTAAAAATGAACAATTTATTGTTAAATAACAAAATTAATTCTTCTTTGTTGTCTTCCTGCGAATCGATTAATATTAATACTTACCATCTCCTTTGAGTCCAGTGCAACAACTTTTTTGTGGTTTTGTCCGTCACGGTGGCGGATTTAACTAATGGCACAATGGACATTGCCGCCTGGCCCCCCAAGGAAGGGTGGTCACAGACAGACCCCCCCCGCAAAAATCAGCTCTAGTGTCTATATTGTTCAGCGCGTCTGAATGTAAAATTGATATCAAGAAATCAGAGTGTTGTTATATTCTTTTAATGACCATCTGCGTAATGTTTATGAAACAGCGCGTTAACAGTCAGTTTGAACAAGAAAATTTCCCTTTCATTTCTTAAGAAATTTTTTTGTGAAATGACTATTTCATTTCTGAAAAAATTACCGAATGACCCTTTTATTGCTCAAGGAATGGAGGGGTTATTTTTTCATTTTGTGCTTACAGTGATATATTATTATCTGGCATATAATGTTCAGTAAATAAATATCCTCGTGGTATGAATCAGCCTCTTTTAGTCTAATAAAGACTCTAATGCATCTAGTCCAGTCTTTTCACGACTTCAATGCTTATAACCATAAACTTTCACAACACTGTGCATTTCTTTCTTTGATGACATATCTACAAGTATGTGTAATGTCGTGGAAGAAATTTTTTGAATGGATTATCAATTTCATAGAAGATGAAATTTCAAGAGTGGGAACTTCTGGCGAAGATATAATGAATGCAAGATCTCTCCTTTCCTTCATGAACTGGACCTTTATTTTCAATTTGTTATGGTGGCATTCCGTATTGAATGTAATGAATACCGTGCAAGTTCAAATGATAAAGAAATAGACTTGACGATGGCTCAAAGGTGCACTTCAGCAGCATTAAAAAAATTAAAAGATTTGTGGAGCGAAAGCATATACGATAATTTTGTTCTGAAGGCTAACAATAAATGGGAAGAGATGGAATGGGAAAATCCTGGATTTCCCATTCTCAGAAAGAGGAGAATCAAAAAAGTGTTCGACGAAAAAGCTGCTGACTCGCCACTGGAAACACACGAAAAACATCGAATAAAGTACTACGAAATTTTGGATTCAATGAGTAACGAATTTCAAGAACGGACTGAAGGATTTCGTGAAGTGAATGATGTGTTTGGTTTTTTGATGC